CACCCTCATCATGATTCTGTGATCACATTAATTCTTTAGCTGCTTTTTATCTAAATTCATGGCCTCTCAATTTTCAACCTTACAGGCTGTATTATTAGGTAACATTTGTTTCCAAACAGTTCTTTTGAGATAACAATACTGTTTTAATACATCTTTGAGGTTTTGCTATTTTTTTTTTTTTTGAGGTTCTGTTATTTTTTGCAAGAAGTTCATTAGCTATTATTTCATGTTTATACTTGCACAGTATCCTCCCAAATGCACTTGGTTAATTCAGTGTGCTTTTGCAGTATTCACCATTTTGCTTTCATGGCCACTTTAAGTGGGGACTTCCAGAAGGCATCCATAACTCTGCAGGGAGAACTTTTCTCCCTGAAGTTGGAGTAAATGCCAATAAATATTTTCAGTTAGCTACTTTCAGATCTCGGGTCTTGGTTTAGAACCAATAATTTTGTTACTTCTTGTTTTGCATATATCTTAAGTTTTGTATTTTGTTGTCTGCCAATCTTTTGTAACAATCATGTACCCAATAAAGAAATGATCTCCAATGTTTACGATCTTTATAAATATGAACTATACATGAGAAGTGCATGAGAGTTCTCTTTCCTTGCCTTCCTCATTAATGAAATGAGGCCATAAGTGGTTTCTAACTGCTATGTACCTTCCTGAAAGATCCTTCTTGGCATTGAGGAACAAAACCATTAAATATGAAATAACTGACTCTTGATTAGGTATACTTTCAGAAAAAGATCTTGATCAAAAGGGGGAAATGTAAAATTAATACAGGAAAACCTCACTAAAGTGGACTGGGAAAGTGAAAAGGTGGAAATCACATGACTCAATGTCAATTACAGGAAAAACTATCAACTGCAGACCTTAACAGAAGAATTATCGAAGGAAAAAATGATCAATTATAGGTCAGAACAGGAAAAGATATACACTGAATTTTTATAAGAAATTGACTATCCCTGCAAATCAGCTAATGAGAAACTGTCGTCACTCTGAATTCCTGCTTTTCTAATGGACTTACATTCAAAACAACCCCCCTGAACTTCCTCCTCCTCCTCCATAAAAGAACATTACTTTTATTTGCTAGACTGGCCTTTGGTTTTGCCATAGCTTGTGTGTCCTGAATTATAATTTTCTGCTATTCCTGAATAAACCTATTTTTGCTAGTAAAACCATTATATTTAAAAAGTTAACAATACCACATTATCTTGCTACAATCAAAAAATTTTCTAAATTTCAAATATATCTGTCCTCAAGAGTTTTAGGTAAGAGACTGGTCTTGGACCAGTTTTAGAAAATCATATGCCCACAAACTTACCAAACTCTCTTCTATCCAATGTTATGATTTCAGGATCATCATCATAAATACCTAATTTAAAAGTAAACATTATAAAATTAACAGTTTATCATAAAAATAAATTACCACATAGAAACAGATTACTTAGGTCTTTTTTTAAACACCAAAAATCAGATTACTATACTAAATGTCAAAGTTGAAGAAAGTGCAATAAACAGAAAGACCAAGAGTAAATAATACCACTGGTAATGCATCTAAAGAATGATAAAAAACAAAAAATTAGTTTCCCGATATGGACTGTTGCAGCTATGTTTGGGGGTTCCCAATACCCATAATTTCATCTCCACAGAAAATTTCTATTATTATTTTTTAATTTTTTATTTTGCAATAATTATAGACTACCAGGAAGTAGTAAAAATAGCACAGACTTCCATGTTCCCTTCACTCAGCTTCCCCTAATGATGACTTATGTAGTTTTAACAAAATCTAGGAAATTGACACTGATACCTTACTGTTAACTAGAGACGTCACTTCCTTTTCTGATTATGTTTTTTTCTAATAAATAGTATCACTAAAGTATTTCCCACTGTTAAAAGTCTTATTAGAATGTTTATAGAGACAAAGACCAACTTAATTAATACAAATTTTACTTATTGTAATTAAAACCAGTGTGAGAAAATTTGTTTCTATATAAGATACCAAAATAATACTAGTGATGGATATAAACCAGTGTCAGTAAACTTATTCTGCAGAGGCCAGTTAAACAGGTCTTGTGGGACACATGGTTTCTGTCACAACCATTCAATTTTGCCCCTGAAGTGAAAGAAGCCACAGATAATATGCAAATAAATGAGCATAATTTTATTCTCCTAATTATCATATTCTCATAATTCTATGATTAATTAAAACCTTACAAAAACAGGTGGCTGGCCAGATTTTAGCCCATGAAATGTAGACTACTGATATCAGATATATACTATTGAGCTGCAGTGATATATTAGAAAATACTATTTTGAAGGAAAAAAAAAGGCAGTCTTGAGAAACAAATACTCCAGATATGAATTTAAAATATTTTATGTAGTCTAATATAAAAGCATACCTCAGTTCTTAGTGTGCATTTGAGGCTAATCAATAACGAAGAGAAATACCGGGTAAGCAAATGCTCCCTCTAGCCTTGCTGGATACCTGTGTTTACTTTACCTGCCCTTGATTTCTTTAACTTGCTTCCTCCCTCCACACTTCCCTCATTTCTTATTCCTGTCAACACGTCAATCCTATTATTAATAAGGATTCCACAAGAGAAGGATGGCATTTCTACTGAACTGACCACTATTAAACTTAAAGGAAACTTTAGATTTTCTTGGAAAATATGATGCTTTAAAAATACCAAAAGGCTTTAGGATTTAACATCTACTGCAAATATTTTTTTAATTAAACTACAATCCTTATTTTAAAAGTATCTAACACGATCATAACCAAAATACCTTCACATATCTACATACCACCTGACTTTCCTTTTGAACGCAGCTCCCATGTTACATTAAACAGTCAAGGTGACACATATTAACTGCCTATGTTAAGTGGTGAAACAAAATTAATTTTCTAAATTTACTCAAATAAAGAACAAAATTTCATAGAGTATCATATCACCTTACCAAAATCATAACGATAATAATTCCAGCTTTCATATTGGCCACCTTCTTGATTATCTGCAAGTCCCTTTTCTCCGTATTTGTCATACTTTTTCCGCAGATCTTCATCTTTGAGTACTTCATATGCTCTATTTATTTTTAAAAAATCACTATGTGCGTTTGGGTTATTCTATTAAAATATTAGACATAATAGTTGTTTCAGATATGTGATCAAGTATCTCCAAAACCTCTACGAAGTTTTAATTTAACCTTGAAATTTCTGGGAGAACAGACATCAAAATAAGGAGGAAGAATACAGTATGAAATGGGTTATTATGGATTGAAATTAGAAAGTATTTTGAAGAACTATAATCTTCCAAAAAAAAAAAAAAGAATAAGAAAAGAACAGAGAAATGAGAATTGAGGCCTCAAAAAGCTGAAAGATATGGCCCTACAATGTAAGTCATTCCTTACATGAAATGCAATTGAGAAAAACTAATAAAACCTTGAAACCTTTAATTTTGTAAATATTATTTTTTATCCCAAAACAATTACAAAGAAATTTGTAGGTAATTTTTCTATTTGAAGCAAAATCAACATATTAACCAAAAACAAACAAACAGAAATGTCCCCCAATCCATCAAATGATTAAATGAGACTAGTATCAGAGTAAAACTCAAAACTGGATTGGAAATGTTCCTCATTCGTTACTCTTTCACAGAACTGGTTTTTGAAGAATGCTTTCATCTAAATAATAATTAGGTGTAAAAGGTCTACTATCTTTCATATGGAAACTTAAAAATCATATTTCTGAAATTTTAAAGAAAAATATGAAAAAATAAAAATTCTAAATATAATAGAAGGTAAATCTCCAGGGAAAGATAACCAACTAACAAGTTTTAGTGAAATATTGATTCTACTGCTGAACTTTATGCAATCAAAATAAAATAACCCTCTTTTAGGCATTTTATATAGAAAACAGAAAATTATAAACCATACCTTTCAAATCCTTGAGGAGTTAAATCTCATTAAAATAATTAGATACATTATAAAAAATATCATAAGTATTAAAACTAAATTAGTTTTGAAAGATGACGTAATTGAATATATAATCAAATATTTATGCCTGGAATTACCTGGATTTGGCTGCTCTTAAGTTTTCATTTGTAATAATTTCTGACTCTGGTGTGGGATTTGTGCATGGAGAAAACAGTACAAGTTGAAGCATGTTATTATTAGTTATTACTGCCATTTTTAGCAAGAACCTTCCAAGTTCTAAAGGAATAATTTTCCTATTACAGTTATAAAATACTTGTTCTTAACTTACTTTACTAAGAAAACTACTTCAACTACCCCATAGACATTATCGTTGGTTTTGGAATTAACATCTGTAATGGAACTGGTACAACTCAGTTTTCAAATTAACAGGGAATTGCATTTTTGATATCAATATTCTTTCACACTGTTCTCAACCAGAATATTTTGCTGCTTCTGTTTTTTAGTACAGAAGCTAAATTGTGACTTTTGACATGTGATTGTTTTTAAGCATTTTGAGCACTTAAAATTTAACTATGTATCAAAACTTCACTGAAATACATTAATCAGATGTATTTAAAGAGAAAACTACTTACCGGGTTTTTATCAGGATGTAGCTTCAACGCCAATTTCTTAAAAGCTTGTCTTATTTCTCTACTGCTTGCAGTTTTGGATACTCCAAGTAAACTGTAAAAATCCTGATCTGTGCCCACTAAAACGGCCATATACACTATTAGAAAACACAGAATGACCCTTTTCAAGTCTCTGACGTAGTCATTTTTATTTAACCAGACTCCCATTCTTTTTCTTACACAAGTTCTGATTTAAGTGAACATTAAGATACACGCTGGTTCCAACTGATAGAATATGCAGGTTTGAGAACTTCTGTTCACATTACTCCCAGGGCGAATCAAGCATCATGAAACTTCCTCCCAAAATGTCAATCTAAAGAGAGGAAACAAGGTAGTTAAAAATATATTAAACAAACAAACAAACAAACAAAAAAAAACCCAGCAATAACGCTGTTAAATAACATGGCCAGTAATACAAGCTCCATTTGATGGCAAATCAGGGTGAGTGCCCAGGCTCTATTCTTTGGGGGTCCCTTCACTGCTTCCATATCCAGGTAGCCAGATTTGTGAAACCACTCAAGATAGGAGGTAAGTGTAAAGGGTAGTGTGCGGTTGTAGCTAGCTAGAACACTTTGAAAACAAATTCAATGATTTGCTCTGATCAGCACCAGAACACAAGTCTGGGAAAAAAACGTTTCCTTCCTTTTCTATCTAGCTTAATTAAGCACAGCTCTTTTGTAAAACCACTTCCTTTTTGGCCACTTCTTTACCACTGTAAGGCTACATCGTTTTCATTCTAATCAGATTTCACTTGTAGAAAATATCCTTTGGAAGGACTAGGGAGTCCTTTCAAAGAGTATTTTTCATACACCTCTTCCAACAAGGGCAGTGAATTTACATTGTTAGACAACATACTTAGTATGGCCGGTTTGTTCCGAATTTTCCCAAAAGGTCCTTACACTACATGTAAGTAGGGACTACTTTATATAAATAGTCGAATAATAACTACAAGTTAACAGTAATGTTATCGCAAAGTTTACATCTAAGATAAATAAAAATGAAAAGGAAACAAAAAAGGAGAAGGAATCAGTTATTTTAACATGCTCACCTGTGTAGGGTCAATAATCTCCACTTCATCAGATCACAAAAGATACCAAAACCCTTTGAAAAATCTAACCTTCTTAGCATTGTTTCTCCTTTCTTCATTTAATCCTAAATATCTAAATCTTCTCCTTACCTGCGAACGGTCTTTGGCTCATTTCTAACTTGTTTCATGCAACCAAAACATAACTTTGTAAAGCATAGTGATGGAGAATAACAAGTATCAGACTAAAAAACTAGAGGAAAATAGAGAACACATTCTCCAATACCACTATGGGACAAGTGGTGTTGCTAGCGGTCGTTCTCAGTCAGCGTGGGTGTGGTTGACTTGATCTCCGCCAAGCTTCGGGGACAGGTGGAAGCTGCAGGTAAAGGCAGTATGAAGGATTTCTGGCTGCCATCACCCCAGAATAGGATGCGGGGAGAGGGGAAAGTTGGGGAAGTCCCGTGAAAGAGACCAATAAGTGCTGCTGGTGTGTGAAGTCTCCGGCCGGGTTAGGGTGAAAAGAGACTGAGTGACTGAGGCTTAAGTGAGAGAAACTGTAGCAAGACGTGCGGAGACGAGGTCAGAAGGGTGATGATGTAGATAATCAGAAAAAGATGGGAGCGAGAACACAAAACCCGTCGCAGGGGCAAAGAGGAAGGGAGGGGAGACTGAGGTGCACAGGCATTGCGCTCTCCCTTCCAGGAGGGCCCAGGCCGCCGCCGGCTCCTACAGAGCCCCGGGCCCCGGCCCATGCCCACCTCAGTGTAGCGGGGTCGCCTCCTGCAGCTACTCCCCCATCCTCAATTCCCGGCGGCAGACCCCACCCGGCCGAGCGCAAGCTGTGCGCGCGTGAACAAAGCGCGCACTCTCCGACCGCCGGGCCGCCGCGCTCGGGATGGGGGAGGACGAGCCGCACCGGCAGCAACGAGCGCTGCAGTTCCAGTCGGCTCCTCGCGCCCCGGTCCCCACGGCGAGCCGGGGCGGGGCCTGGCGCGGGGCACTGTGGGAAAGGCGGAGAGGACACGGCCTGGGAACACCCGCAGCAACTCCGCGGGCGCGGCGGCAGCTGGGTGGGGAGGGCGGTTTAGCTTTAGGTTGACGTGGCCATCAGCGTTGAATCCGGCTCCGGCTCCGGGTCCAACCCGGAGCTGAAAAACCTGTTCAGCCCCAGAAGCCCGCGCCCCCGCATTAAACCGGCTGGCGCACGCGGCAGGCCGGACGTAGATTGAGGGAGCCCGCCCCTTCCTTCTCCCGTTGCTATGGTGACAGGGAAACCTGGGAGGCGGGTTTAGGCGTGCAATTTCCGAGTGGCCATATTCTTAAAGGGAAATTAGAGCTATAGAGCGTTTTTCTGGTTGGTGGGTGGGTGTAGCAGAGAGGGGAAATTTTGTGGATAAAGGGGAGCTTTATCTAGCGGGCTGAAGAGTCAGTAGGAAACTTGGGAGAAATAAAAATATTTGTGTGTGTGTTAGAACAAACATTTGAGCATTCTACAGTATTGTCTGGTTTCCTAGTCATTCACGCTAGAAACTGGGGAGTTATCCATACTTCTCTCTCTCACCTTTACATTTAAGTGGTTTGGTACAAAAACTTCAGTTTTGATCTGCGGAACACAGAACAGTGGAAGTAGCTACATTTGCAACCATCAAAAGAAAAAAAACATTGTGAGGATGCCTGCTTAAGACATTAACCCTGATATGAAATACGTTGTAATTGGTAACAATTTCATGGGTAGTAAATCAAATGTAAGCTTATAAAAAACTGACTGAATGGGATCCCTAGCTGAACTAATACATTGCAAGAAAGAGAAGGAAGGAGGTGAACAAAGGCAGAAATATTAGAAGAGCCTAATATAATAGTAAATATGTGGTAGGAACTAGTCTAAGTATACACGTATTAATTCAGTCCTCCAAATATTCTTATATTATTTTGACTATAATTATATCCATTTCACAATTGCGGAAACAGGTAAATATGTGATAGACCTGGGATTCACACTTAAGCAGCTTGACTCCAAAGACTGCGATGCTGATCATTATGTCACACTGTGTGTGTACCAACAAAATCTTTAGAGTAAATTGGAAAGCAAAATAGAAAACTGGCGAATCAAGCAGGGAGCTGATCACAGTGGGTTTTATGCTATGATGAGAACATAGACTATCTTTTTGGTAATGAGGAAGCCCCTTAAAACTTTTAAAGTAAGGGACTCAGGCTGTATTTTAGATTGTTCTGGTAGCTTTTGGAAAGTGAATACAAAGGGAACCAGATGAGAAAGGAAGAACAATTAGAAGAGTGAGTGCTAGAGAAGGTAAATTTGGCAAGAAATGGTTATTGCTTGGATATGGGAAATAAAGGAGAGGAAGGATCTAAGGTTAGTTCTGGTTTAGGTAGCTGAATACATGCACTGAATGAGGATCGGGGGAAAAAATAAAGGGTTCTGATTTGGATATATCTATTTCAAAGATCCTAGATTATGTCCGAATAAATATATCTGGCCTAAATCTCATGGGGAATATTTAGACTGAAGAAAAAAATAGGAAATTATCAAATAATCTGTGGTAGTTGGAGCCACGAGTATAAATAAGAGTACCCAGAGAAAGTATGCAGAATAAAAGCTGGGAGCCAAGGATAAAATCTTGGGGAATTCTGATACCTAGAATTTACACAGCAAAGGAAACCATCAACTAAATGAAAAGACAGCCTTTGGAATGGGAGAAAAATATTTGCAGGTTATATATCTGATAAAGGGTTGATATCCAAATAATATAAACACCTATAAACTCAATAGCAAACACCCCAAACAATTTAATTTAAAAAATGGGCAGAGTAGGGCACCTGGGTGACTCAGTCAGATGAGTGTCCAATTTAGGCTCAGGTCACGATCTCAACAGTTTGTTTTGTAGGTAGGTTTCATAGCCCCATGTTGGGCTCTGGGCTGACAGCTCAGAGCCTGGAGCCTGCTTTGGATTCTGTGTCTCCCTCTCTCTATGCCCCTCCCCTGCTTGCACTCCGTCTCTGTCTCTCAAAAATAAACATTAAAATTTTTTAAAATGGGAAGAGGATCTGAATAGACATTTTTTTAAAGAAGACATATTGGTGGCCAAGAAGCATATGAAAAGGTGTTCAGCATCATTAATCATCAGGGAAATACAAGTCAAAAACACAATGGGATATCACCTCATACTAGTCAGAATGACTGTTATCAAAAAGAGAAAAAAAATAAGTGTTAGTGAGGATGTGGAGAAAAAGGAACCCTTGTTCTGTTGATGAGAATATAAATTGGTGCAGCCCCTATGAAAAACGGTATGGAAGTTCCTCAAAAAATTAAAAATACAACTACCATATGATCTAGCAATTCTATTTCTGGGTATTTACCCTAAGAAAATGAAAACACTTATTAGAAAAGATCTATGCACCCTCATGTTCGTTGCAGCGTTATTCACAATAGCCAAGATATGGAAACAACCTAAATGTTGATTGATAGATGAATGGATAAAGAGAATGTAGTATATATGTAAAACATTATTATTTAGCCATAAAAAAGAATGAAATCTTGTCATTTGTGACAACATGGATAGATTTTGAGGGCATTATGCTAAGTGAAAAAGGACATAAAGAAAAAGACAAATACTATTTGACCTTACTTACATATGGAATCTAAAACACACACACACACACACACACACACACACACACACACACACAGAGAACACCAAACTTATAGATACAGGGAGCAGATTGTTGATTGCCAGAGGCTGGGAGTAGGGGGTGGGTGGGATGGATGGAGAAAGTCAAAAGGTACAAACTTCCAGTCATAAAATAAATAAGTCCTAGGGATGTAATGTACAGCATGGCGACTGTAGTTAATAATGTTGTAATGCATACTTGAAAGTTACTAAGAGAATAGATGCTAAAAGTTCTCACCATAAGAAAAAAAATTCTGGGACGCCTGGGTGGCTCAGTTGGTTGAGCGTCCAACTTTGGCTCAGGTCATGATCTCACGGCTCATGAGTTCAAGCCCTGCGTCGGGCTCTGTGCTGACAGCTCAGAGCCTGGAGCCTGCTTCGGATTCTGTATATACCTCTCTCCTGCCCCTCCCCCGCTCATGCTCTGTCTCTCTCTCTCTCTCAAAAATAAATAAACATTCAAAAAATTTTTTTAAAAAAGAAAAAATTCTGTGACTATGTATGGGATGGATGTTAATTAGACTTATTTTGGTGGTCATTTCACAACATATATAAATGTTATGTTGCATATCTGAAACTAATATTTCAATTATACCTTAATAAAGAATTTATAAATTAAAAAACAGAACGTTTTTATTAGTGCAGGTGCACTATGACGGAATTAGTGCAGGTGCAGAGAAATAAATAGATTCAAGAAAAAAGTAAGAGTATATATATATATGTGTGTATATATATGTGTGTATATATATATGTGTGTGTGTATATATATATATGTAATTTGGTGATGAATTGGTCATGGTAGGGTAAGAGAAAGACATTTGAAGACACATTTCTACTTCAGATAATTGACATCAGGGATGTACACCTGCTTTAGGGAAACCAAAGCCTTACCAGCATCAGTATAATAAATCAAAATTTGATACCCTTGTTCTATCATATCTGCATGAGATATGTTATAACAAGGGGACTGTTTTCATTTTTTTTTTTTATTCCATCTGGGGCATTGCTACTCATCTTTTAAGACCTGTTCATGTTTCTTCTAAAAAATAATTTTCTGTGAGCCATTCAAGCATATTTGAGAATTTCATCCATTATTATTGCATTTATTATTCCATATAGTAATTATGTTTCATTGGTTGGTCTATTATAATGAATTCTTTCAGATCAGGAATTAGATTTTATTTACTTTTTCCCTCAAGGTCTAGCTAGAACAGTGCTTGGTGCCTATTCAATGCATGCATTATGATGGAATGAAAAGTCAATATTTATCATGTGCAAAGAGGAAAGAATGGACCTTTGTTCCTAAAGTCATTATCATCTGGCCAAAGGGGAGGGACATGAAGAACACACATTCACATGTAGAAATATAATATAATAATAAATATCAAATGAGTGGTATAAACAATAAGTTCTATAAAGACTCAAGTTGGGGCTTAATGGCTCAGAATCAAATGAGGGTGCAATATGGGTGTTTCTGAATTTCAAAAAAAAAAATACATAATAAATTTGGAGTTTCAGAACCAGGTAAAATCTTTGAGGTGATGGAGTGCATTCTTTAAATTTGTAGGGGAGGAAACTGTGGCCCAGGAAAGTTGCTGAGTACTTGCCAAAGACACTGAAATGTAAATGGATGAAATGAGAATATAACCTATGTTTCCTGTCTTCCCAACCAGTGTGAAATGATAATGATCATCACAATAAAACTTACATGTGCTTTATATGTCCTAGACACTCTATCAAGCACTTTACTTGTATTAACACATTTAATTGTCATAACAATTCTGTGAGGTAAGTGCAATTATTACATCAATTTTACAGATGAAGAAACTGAGGCTAGAGGAGGTTAAGCTACTTGACCAACGTGACCCAGTTAGTAAGTGGCAGATGTTGGATTTCAGCCTGGGTGGTCTAGATCTGGAGTCTGTAAGGAGCACCACAATCAATTAATTGAAATATTTTTGACAGCATTTATTTAAGCTAAAATTAGGTGTTATTTCCATATATTTTTTTCAAAACAACATAATAACCTGTCACAAGTGTTTCATTTTGGAGGTAAATTGTAATAG